GATTCAGTGGCGTCTATCTCCCAGGATACAACGGTCTACATCCACCAGTAGCAGCACTACAAACTCGTAGATACGGCGAACCTCCTCCGTGTAATACTCTCTCTGACTCAAAAATGCATCTATATACTATATAAATGCTGAATTGGGTGTAATCCGAACCAGATGGTTCGGACCAATCTTAATATGGTTCGATGAAATTGGATTAGGATCGAAGTGGCTCGAACCACTTAACCTATGGTTTGAACCCACTTGGGTTGGGTTCTAGTCTAGAGAGGGAGATAGAAGAAAATGAAAATGAATGAATTGCAAATGATCTAAAGGGGGGTATTTATAGAAACAGAAATGCCTTTTCGAATGGGGTGCGTCTTTTTATTATTGGACACAACCATTGCAATAGGTTGCAATGGTTCACATGGTGTCTATTCACCACTAGACACATCCATTCCAATAGGTTGCAATGGTTCACATGGTGTCTGTTCACCAATAGACACATCAATTCTAATAAGTTGCAATGGTTCACATGGTGTCTGTTCACCAATAGACACATCCATTCCAATAGGTTGCAATGTGCCTTTTTGAGTGGGTGCAACTATGGGTTATGATGGTTCGGAAAAAGGTGTAACCCTTTGAAAAAAACTAAAAGTGGTTTTTTAATTTAAAAGGTGTAACCCTTTAGAAAAAACTAAAATATGGTTTTTTAATTTAAAAGGTGTAACCTTTTAGAAAACTAAAAAGTAGTTTTTTTAATTAAAAAAAAACCAACTACCCAAAAACCCCACTCATTTGTGAAACCCATTTAAATAAGCCCAGCCCAAAATTAGGCCCAATCCAAAATTCCAAAAAAGAATAATCTGGACTTTACAATTAGGCCCAAGCCCAAGCCCAAATCGTAAACTCAGCTTATTTAAATTTCAATTTGTTTCAACATTTTTTCCATGTGGGACAAACACTTCCCACATTTTGCATACCCATTTAGGCTTATCAAAACACTACACTTTGGAGCTAATTTCTCATTCATCCGGAAATGAATTTCAGAAAGTAAATATACCATGTTCATCTCCTTGCGGAGAGAAACGCGCTTGTCTAGAGATCCGTAAAAAATTATTAGCAGAATCTATTTCAAATCTCATCCAAAGTTTATGTTTTTAATGCCCCCATTTCCAACATGATACAATAGCATGGGACCAATTTTTTTTTTTTTTTAATGAAAAATAACAGAGCTATATTATATATATATATATATATATATATATATATATATATATATATATAATTTTGTTTCATCATAGACCAAAAAAAAAAGTAAAGAACATATTTGAAAAAGTAAAAGTAAATGATTTTATATGTATAATTGAAAAATTAGAAATTCCTTACCAAAATTTATTAGGAAGAATAAACAAATAATTTGAAAGCATTATATAAAATATGAAATTATATATATTCATATAATTTCAGTCCTAAAGAAATAAATATTTATATTTAATATGATTCGTACTAAAAGCAAAATTGTATTGTATTCATATAATTTGTTATTTACAAAAATAAATATTTACATTTAATATGTTTCATGTAAAACATTCATATAATTTTTTGACCTAAAGAAATAAATATTTGCATTTAATATGATTTGTACTAAAAGTAAAACAAAAAAAAGACGAAGTAAAAGAAAACATATTCTTTGATCTTGGTGATATGAGAAAAGGGTAAATTATGATTTTTAAATTTACTTTATGCCAATTTTGACCAAATAGTGGTTAGGCTTATTTGCACCCTTTTTTTTTTTTTTTTTTAATTTTATGGACTAAAATACACCTTTTAAAAAAGGAAGAATGCATTGTGCACATAGGACAAGGATCACCTCCAGTTGCACAATAGTCGATTTCCTCCATTTTTGTAAGTAAAAGTACGTCACAATATTTTCGTAAGGTGCATCCCAATATTTCCCTACTATGCATCCCAATATTTTCCTACTATGCATCCCAAACATGGGTGACGTGATCATTTTTGGACCACTCATTTCACAATGGAGTAAATGGTACACTATTTCACTGGAGATGTTTTTCACCCTGTGTACATAACCTATATTATAGGGGCTTTTCTACACTTAACCCTTATTATTATTATTATTATTTTGATAAATGATACAGAAAGATGTTCCTATGGAAAGGTGGGAGTGAAGAAAATGATTGAGTGGAAAGAAAAGAAAAAAGATTTAAGGAAGGAAGTGATATTTCATGATTTTACTATTACACTCACTTTTGAAGAAAAATGATTCATGTATGTTGTATGATGATTGGAGTTGTTATAGAAATAGTTGGTACACAAATTTGAATGCTATCGACAATTCTGTGCTAATCAACAACCAAGGGGTAGTTAACATATATGCCAAAGATCTGAACCGAGTTCGTATGAGAAACAATGTGTCAATTTCCAGAGACCCCACACCAGCATATGCACGCAAAAAGGCAACAATTTCGACGCAATCAAGCCGCCGGTTTTCATTCCTCAATTAGTAAAACAAATTTGAATGCTATCTTCACCAACCCAACCCATTAGAGTGCACCCACCAGAATTTGTCGTGTTGCCAAGTCTCTCTCAGGCATTTAACCAAACAGTTTACATGCTTCCTCAAAATCTATCGTTCAGAATCAGAAGTTTAATCTGAAGACTTAGGACCAAACTATATTAATGAACTCCCATTATGAGCTCAGCATGTTTGTTTTTACTCCATTCAACTGCTATAAATTACGATATGATAGTAGATAACTCTTATAACTAGGAATTAGTGGGAGAGTTTCCAAAGTAAACCCCCCTCCAAAAATGGGCGTACGCCGTTAATTGTGACGAGCACACGGTATTCTTTAGTAAAAGGCGAAAGAATAGTTCGCTCTGTGCTCAACACACGGCTGCGTGATTCTACTAGTTGGGGATGCTTGCATTATATACCAAGGGATTATGCTTCTTATCGGTTGTACTTTTCGATGTGGGACTTGCTTACTGCCGAAATGACTTCTATTATGGCCATTTCAAGTTTCAATCTGCATCTCTCCCTCTATTTTATTCCCATCTTCATTGCCACACTCTCTCTCTCTCTCTCTCTGAGCTGTGCTTATAAAAGTTGTTGATCTGCATCTCTCCCTCTATTTTATTCCCATCTTCATTGCCACACACTCTCTCTCTCTGAGCTGTGCTTATAAAAGTTGTTCAGGCATGTTGATTTTAGAAGACTAAAGTAGAATTAAAAAACCCAAGAGCATCTTTGTCTCACCCAGGAAAGTAGGGGTAACAATACAACATGCTTTGAGCATCTCTGGCCGCGCTATATTAAAATATTTTTTTTGTGTAAAATATACATTGTCACGTATAATATATAATTTTTTTTTTTACACTATCATGTTATCAATATGTAAAATTATTGTGTATTTTACATAATCTTTTTACACAGCCACATCATTATATTTACTTTTTCCACCCTCTTTCTTATTCTATTAACATATCAATCATATATTAAGTAAGTTTGTAAAAATTATATAAGATCCAAGCATGACAATAATTGGTTGTTATTATGGGATCTATTTTTATACAAAAGATATAAAATAACCGCTGGAGCTAAAAATAAATAATCTAATTTTTTTTGTACAAATCTATTTTGACACATCATATTTACACAAAAATGTATACACAACCAGTGTGCCTCACATACATACTCTATCTACTTTTATAAAAGTAGAAAGCCACATCAACATTATTTAATAAAAAATATTGATGTGGTACTCTTTTTTTTTTTTTTTTTCTCCCAAGTTCCTGCGATGGTGTGGTACATTTACCTCATTATCTATTTTTTATTTTATTATTATTTGTTTGACCTATGTATATTATAAATGAGTATAGCTATTGTGAGGGAAAGAGTAAAGTAATCAAAAAGCACTATAGAAAGGTTAAAATACTACATAAAATAGATAGATATTATCTAAATGTGGACAATACAATGGACCACTGATTTGATACTCTACTTTTCAGCGATATCATCCCCTTCTTTCTCTACTTTATGAAAATGTACACCACTTTCTCTCCCACCTCGCTTGCTTTTAGATCTGGTTACAAGCTTAGCTTATTACTCAGGTGGTACAAATTTGGTCCTAAAGGGTTGGACTCAAGTGGCCTTGGTGTCTCACGAAGTAAACAATTTTTTGAAGGGTTGTGAGTATCAATTAGAAAATAAAGTAGTAATAAGTTACCTCCTCCTCCTCAACTCGAGAGGGATAGGCCACACATCCTCTATAGCCTTCTCATGTCTCTCCGATAATGTTATTGTTTTCAAGAAGCATATGCCTAATTTTGATTGTAGCAAATGTCATTGTTGATGTTGATAATGAACATGCTAGGGATGGGGAATCATATCATAGAAACACTCGATTTTCTTTCCAAATATGACTTGTTTTCAACCTTTGCTTGGACTTTGTTTATCCTTCGGTGTCCCATTTGAGGTCACAAGTTTAATCTTTTATCTAGCATGTCACTCAAGTCTAAGCAACTTCCGAACAAACTTTATTAAATGAACTCTTGTTATGAGCCAACCATGTTGGCTTTTACTACATTCATCAACATCAGTAAAAAAAGGTTTTCAATGATCCTTGTTTATGAGCTTAGCATATTGCCTTGGCACACTCCAATTTGGAAGCTTAAAGAAAACAGCTCTTAGTTTTCTTATTCATTCAGATACAAAATCAACATAGAGCCTTGGTTTCATGACTTAAAAGGAAACTATGTCATGTTGAGAGGGATAGAGAGTTGGCATGGTAGTGAAATCAATGGTAGTAATCAGCCAATCACTGTGTGAAAAACACATTAGCAAAAGGGCCAATCACTTTATGAAAGACACGTCATCCAATGTCTTTCAATTTTTTTGCTAATATGTCACATGGTGATTGACCAAATCATTACCATATAATAATGTCACATGCAAATAAAGGGAAGCCTTATAACTAGAAATTGATGGGAGAGTTTCTAGAGAAAACCCCCCTCCAAAAATGGGCGTATGCCGCAATAAGTGATGAGCACACGGTATTCTTTAGTAAAAGGCGAAAGAATAGTTCGCTATGTGCTCGAAACACGGCTGCGTGAATTTTAATCATTTGGGATGTTTACATTATATGCAAATGAATTCTGCTTTTTTTGGCTGTCACTTTTCGATGTGGGACTTCCTTATTGCTGAAATGACTTTCATGGCCAGTTCAAGTTTCAATCTACATCTCTCCCATTTTAGCCCATCGTCATTGCCAGCCTAGTTTTTCATTCTCTGAACCATGCTTATCAAAGTTGTTTTAAGCATATCTTGATTTTATAAGATTCAAGTGGAGTAAAAAATCAAGAACTTCTTTGCATACAACTTAGGAAAGTGGGCTAACAAGCATCTTTGTATGACTTGGGAAAGTGGGCTAACAAGATAAACATGCTTAGCTCTTACCAAGTAATTGGAGGTTTTATGCTCTATTTGATACAAGGAAAATGGGGAGAAAAAATGGAAGGTACAGAAGAAATTCTAATGCAGCATTGTAAATTTATCAAGACAAAATGTTAAGATATTATTTGTCTCCAATCGAATTGAGCTTGCTATTGGTGTCTGTAGGAAAATGCTCCGAGGATACAACAAAATCTGAATTCCTCCGTTAGCAATACTAAAAGAATTCCATAAAAACTCTATTGAAATTGTTATAAAGATAACTGGGATCGAGAAGGAGAACACAAAATAATAAACTGAGTTGAATTGCAGAATCTGAAGTACAAATATCTTTATTTATAGACTTCCAAAAGGTGTGATTGAATAGTAATAGTTTTAAAAAAGTTATCCATGATGTTGAGCAAGGAAATTTAGGAATATTTGGATTTTATGCCCTATTATTAATATTTTGATAAATGATACAGAGATATGTTCCTATGGAAAGGTTGAGTGGAGAAAATGATTGACTGGAAAGAAAAGAAAAAAGAAGGAAGGAAATGATATTTCATGATTTTACTATTACACACTCACTTTTCAAGAAAAATGATTCATGTATGTTGTTTGAGAACAGAAAAGTGGTAAAAAAAATTCCTTCTCTTCCTCAAATCCGGAAGGATAGCTTCCATCTCCTCCATTTTTTTTTTTCCATTCTCTTTTCCTCCTATCTAGGAATATCCTTCCGTCTCCTCCATTTTTTTTTTTCCATTCTCTTTTCCTCCTATCTAGGAATAGGATAGCCATTCATTTCTCTCTTTTATTTCCTCCTAACATAGCCACCATTAGTCTCTTATTTAGGAATGCACAAAAGAACTGTAGAACCGGAACCGAACCAAAATTCCGATTCTCATAAGTTTCGGTTCGGTTCGGTTCGGTTTTGGAACCAGAACCGAAATATATATATATATATATATATCTTATATATTTGATTATATTTTTTTTACTTTTAGGGCAAATCATTTCAGCCGCAGCAATCGCCTCCATCTCTATTCTCTCGACTCTGAACTTGCCCTCTCTCTCAGATCTCTCACTCTCTCAGTCTCAGTATATATATATATATATATATATTTGATTATATTTTTTTTACTTTTAGGGCAAATCATTTCAGCCGCAGCAACCGCCTCCATCTCTATTCTCTCAACTCTGAACTTGCCCTCTCTCTCAGATCTCTCACTCTCTCAGTCTCAGTCCTCTCCTTCTCTAAATCTCTGAGATTCTCTCTCTCCTTTGGCTCTCCACTTTGAAAGAGCAGACCCTAATCAAGTTATTTGAGCAAACAAAAGGTAAAAGGCGATGCTGAGAGTTGCGGGTAGGAGGTTAACATCTCTCTCATGGAGATCCACCGTCCACCCAGACATATCGGCCTTCGTCAACAGAAATCCAATCATCATCCTATTCCAGCTGGTCTACCTCCCAACTCCCCTACACATTTTCTGTCTCTTCCCAATTTCTAGATCAAATCAGAGGTCAACCCTCTCACCTTTGTTGCTCTCTCTCTCATCTTTTAGATCTAGGGCTCATATATTTTTGCCTAGTATGCATCTGTTCGGACTATTCATGGCTTTAGGTTTTCTTTTCTAATCCATTTGATTGTTAATGTTAACAAGAAATATAGGAAAAAAGCCAAACAAACAGTTCTCATGGAACCGAACCGATTTTACGGTTCGATTCCGGTTCGGTTTCATATTAAACGGTTCCGGTTTCGGATTCGATTCCGATTTCAAGGAACCGTTGTGAACGGTTCCGGTTCCGACCAGAACCGAACCGTGTGCACCCTACTCTTATTGATGTTTTATATATTAAACTTGTTTTCATAAATTGGATACTGTAAGGAGAAAATAAAAACATACTAAGTTGATTATTGAAAGAATATGTCAGTGATGATTGGAGTTATTATAGAAATAGTTGGTACATAAATAATTCATCTCTATAGTATCATTTTGATTCCAGCTACCTTAAACATAAATGCAGAAATGGACTTATTGGAAATTTAATATAATTACAGAAGGGTATTACAAGAATAAAACCTATAGGAAGCACTGAATGGAGGCTATTATAAATCGATTTTAGAGGTTAAATTAGGAAGAAAAAGTTAGTCATTATTAAATCACATTAAAGACAAAAATGAAAGAGAAATACATACTAGAATTTATGAGAGATTTTTTTTTATTTTTTTTTATGTGTATCGGCCCCACAATACACGTACCATTTAAGTCAGGAGTACGGTTCGAAAATGAGATCTTAAGAACATACTTCTCCGATTCCTGCCAATACCGCTATATCCATGGGGACAATTTTTGAAATAAGCTTATTTAAGATTATTTATTATAAGTTGATATTATGTTTTTTTAAATATATACATAAATATAATGTAGCCTTAATATTATAATTCTATAAGACTGCATTGTGAGCTTGGAATCATGACTCCGAAACAACAAATAGTTTCAACGTAATAGAGGTAAATACTAAGTATATTTAATCATCTTTAAATTTACTAAAAGTGTCTTTATTTTATTTTATTTAGGATAAGTCCAGTAACACCCTGAAATTTGCCTTATTGAAGCTATATACAAATTAGTTCATTTTTTAACATTGACAACCCCTATCAATTGTTGCACATAAAAATGCTACGAAATATATAAATTACGCTCATATTTTAAAAAAAAATATTTAATAAAAAATAATAGATAAACTAAAAGATCATTTTGCCCCTAATATTTTGGGGGAATGAGTGGTGCTATCTAGTTTTAGGGTAGTGATATAATTGATATATATAAAACCAACTTTATTATTAAGGGCAAACTAGAAGACACCGTTTTAAAACTATATTATTATTAATTTTTAGAGTAGTTATATTTGTATCGATTTTTAGAATAATAATATTTGCACCTATTTAAAACTAACATGGTCATTATTTTTTTTAGAATAGTAATATTTGCACCGATTAAATTTTTTTGCACAGTATAAATAAATGGAGAGTCACTGCAATAAACTCAAATGTCACTGCTCTAAAAATTTAGATAATTGAACCGCATAAATATAAAATTATATAAACACAAGCATACACATAACCAGTGTGTGTGATTGCTCAATATTTATTTGCAATATGATGATATAGATGTATGTTCATTCCTGCAGCTAAAATCCAAACAAGGAGATCAAAGTGGTTCTTAATTGTTTAACTTTTGTGTAGATCGGAAGATGTTGACTAAGCAAAGCAACACATGGGAAAAGCAACACACATGGTCCAAGTAAAGTGAACCTACTCAGAGTGGGTATGGGTCTGAAAGCAAAATAAAATAATTTGCATGAAAATCCCCTATATTTTACACTATTTGAATTCATTTCCCATTATTGTGTACCAAAGAAAGTGTAGAGAAGATAGAGAGAGAGAGACGATAGAGAGAGAATAATGTTTTTGCTTTTACTCAATCAGTTATATATTTGATGCAATTTGGTTACAATGTTTAGGCTTTGTTTGAATACAAATGAGAGAAAAGAAAAGAAATGATAATAATTTGTTTGTTATCATTTTTTCTTAATTTCTCCAATCTATTATATTTAAATAAGAATATTATATCAATTTTTTTTTTCTTTTCTATTTATATAAATATAAATAAAAATTATTGTTCTACTTTCTTCTATTCTATTTTCTCACGTAATTAATACTATCATTTTTTTTTTCTTTTCTTTCATTTGTATTAAAACAAAGCCTAAACGTTTTAATCAAATTGCATCAAATATATAACTGATTGAGTAAAATAAAAAATTATGCATTGTTACATTGCAAAAATTGAATTTCAGATGCTCAAGTGCAAGTATATGGTTTTGCCATTACCATGTCTTTTCAATTATCAAAACTAACATATATATATATATATATATGTGTGTGTATATATATATGTGTGTGTGTTTTAAATGATAATAAAAAATTAATAAAATAAATTAAAGACCACACAATAAAAGTTTCATGCCAAAATTCACTTACCACACAAATCACTAAGTTTAAATAATATTTCATCTTCTTTATCATTTAATCAACTTCATGTTTAAAATTAGAAAGTTATAAGATTAACACCACCATATAGTTGTGTATCTCACAAAAACTATTGGGCCCACAATTATATTAAACAATTCACTAATGGAGTGTCATCTCAAGTAGGATTACTCTTTAAGTTGTTAATTTAAAGAAAGAATTTATAACAAATACCATGTAATCGATCTTATTGTGCATTTTGCCAAATATATATATCTTACAATTTACTAACATTATAAATTTGTAACATGCTTATTTTTCTTTAAAAATAAATAAATAAATAAATAAACTTAAACAAAATACACCAAAATAGAAGGGCACCTTAGCAAAAACAAATCAGTCACGACACTAATATGCCAAACTCTGACCCTTCCTCACACTTTCCTCTCACGCGTGCTCTCTCTCTATTATCATCTTCTTCTTCAGCAGTTCATACCTATGGACTAATTTTACTCTTCTAATTTCCACTAAACAATAACTTTAACAAATCTCGAGCTTTCTTCTTCCAAAAAAAATTCAATTTCTAGGGTTTGATACTCTCTCTCACCTCTCAGCTCAACCATGGCTTCAATCATCCAAGAAGGTACTTTTTTTTCTCTCCACTCTCCCAATCAACTTGGACATAGATCATGATCAATAATTAATTTGTAGCTGGATAGAGGTATATATATATAAATTATCTAAGCTTATGGAAGAGTTTATAAAACTGATGTAATTAATTTGCTCTACCAATTTTCCAGAAAATGTAATTTAGTTTGCTCTAGTTTTGAAAATTGATTGATTGTGTAGGAGGAGAGAGAGATTTGGAGAAGGGACTGATGACTCCTTCACAAAGTCAAAACCCTCTGGCCGAGCCGTCGCCAACTCCGTCGCCGTCGTCGGCGACTGCACCAGCTCTGGTCCTATCGAATTCGGGAAAGCGGATGGATCAAGCTGGAAAGAAGAAGTACGTGAAGCAGGTGACCGGCAGGCACAACGACACGGAGCTGCATCTGGCGGCGCAGCGTGGTGATCTGGCGGCGGTGAAGCAGATTCTTGATGACATCGATTCGCAGATGGTGGGGACTCTGAGCGGAGCAGACTTCGATGCGGAGGTTGCAGAGATTCGGGCATCGGTGGTGAATGAGGTGAATGAATTGGGAGAGACAGCGTTGTTCACTGCCGCGGATAGAGGGCATCTTGATGTTGTGAAAGAGTTGTTGAAGCATTCCAATAAGGAAACTATCACGAAGAAGAATCGGTCCGGGTTTGATCCTTTGCATATAGCTGCGAGTCAAGGACACCATGGTGATAATCTAAACTTTGTTAGTTGTTTTTGTTCCTGTTCATTTCTGAATGGCTTTCATCATTTTCATTTACTCAACTTTAGAAAAGCTTGACCCTTTTTAGGTGTTTAAGAGATTGAATATATAATAAGAAGATCATAGAGTGGGTTCTAGTGATGAAATGGGAGGTTATAGAATAGCTATTAGAAGTCTTCTATCTTGTTTATGCTATGTTAAATTGAGCATCTTAGGTACTATTGTTGGATGGGTATTGTTGCTATTTTCCCAGATGTTTTTTCATTCATATCCAAAAAGATGTGCTTAGTTTATATATTGCCACAGACCAAAGAGCTTCACCTAGGTGTTGAAGGCTCTGATTTGAATAGGATGTTGAGAGCTTGACTTCATATGCAAAAATTTCATTTGTGGAGACGTAAGATTTCTTGGCATTGGTTTGATTGGGAGGCTTATTCCCTGCACAGACACTCATTTGTGGACAAATATAACTTGCACGGATGTTGGTCATATACCGACTCATGGTTTAGAAATTCTCGGTGGGAAATAAATTAGTCCATCATGCACCTTGGGGAATAAATGATACTCCAAAATGCTAATTGTTTCTGCAGTTCCTTTGTCAATCTTCTGGATGACCTAATAAGTAGATATCATGAGGGCTACTTTGATTTACTGAAACATCTTTCTACTTCTATTCCTAAATTATACACCTTCTTTACAAAACCAGGCGGTCCAGACTAGTACATTTATAGTACTATTTTGTTGCAGGCATTGTCCAGGTTCTACTAGAGCATGACCCAAGTCTAAGTAAGACAATTGGCCAATCGAATGCAACCCCTCTTATATCTGCAGCTACAAGAGGGCATACGGCTGTAGTTAATGAACTGCTGTCAAAGGATTGCACCTTGTTGGAGATTTCTAAATCCAATGGGAAAAATGCATTGCATTTAGCTGCTAGACCAGGACATGTAGACATTGTGAAGGCATTGCTAGACAAAGATCCCCAATTGGCAAGAAGGACAGATAAGAAAGGACAGACTGCATTGCATATGGCTGTAAAAGGGCAAAACTGTGAGGTGGTGAAATTGCTTCTCGATGCTGATGCGGCTATTGTGATGCTGCCAGACAAGTTTGGGAACACAGCATTACATGTAGCCACCAGAAAAAAGCGAGCAGTGGTATATTCTGAGATTCTGAACTTCCATCTTTCAATACCTTCTTTTGGGATGTTCAATGGCTAGTTCCTCCTTACCATAGACTATTAAAATTAATTTGATCCATTTCCATGAATTACTTACTTTTTGATCATCTTATGAAGTTTGCCTAAATATTTCAAACTGGATTAGATCATCCCTTATTCCAATAATAAGGTTTGAAAAAGAGCTTAAATAAGCTTTATGAAATTCACAGAAGATATGAAATTTTATGGCTGTTGTGCACACAATTTTCTTAATTTGGCTCTGAACTTCATTTTCCATCTCTGATTTTGAATGCACTTTTTAAAACATAATTTCTGATATTCATTTAAGAGGAAATGCATATAAATCAAAACAGACATTGTATGCAGATTTAGCTTTCTGCTAACTTAACCAAAAAAAGGTGGACTATTTATGGTTCTCTAAATTTATGTCTCAGCTGTTTTCTTCCTTATCATATGGGTTTATTCATCAAAATGACTCAAACCTAACTACCCATTTTTTGCTTTTCCCAGTTTTTTATTTGGCTAGAATCTTAGTTAGAAATTTAAAACATATTCAGCCATCCTTAGTCTGAATTGCAAAAACTACATGTCCAAGCACTGGTTTACTTTTAGCCTTTGCCTTGCAGATAGTGAATGAGTTGTTACGCCTACCAGACACCAATGTTAATGCGCTGACCAGAGATCATAAGACAGCTCTTGACATAGCTGAGGGGCTTCCCCTCTCTGAAGAGTCCTCAGAAATTAAAGACTGCCTTTGTCGCTATGGTGCCGTCAGAGCTAATGAATTGAATCAACCGAGGGATGAGTTGAGGAAAACCGTCACTCAAATCAAGAAAGATGTCCACACCCAGCTTGAACAAACCAAGAGGACTAACAAAAATGTTAGTGGAATTGCCAAAGAGCTCAGAAAACTCCACCGAGAAGGGATCAATAATGCCACCAACTCAGTAACTGTAGTGGCTGTGCTTTTTGCTACAGTTGCCTTTGCTGCTATTTTCACTGTGCCTGGTGGGGATGATAATGATGGGATGGCTGTGGTGGTGAGCAGTACTTCTTTCAAAATCTTCTTTATCTTCAATGCCATTGCGCTTTTTACGTCCTTGGCCGTTGTGGTAGTTCAGATTACATTGGTTAGAGGTGAGACAAAAGCTGAAAGACGCGTTGTGGAAGTTATTAACAAGCTGATGTGGTTGGCTTCTGTGTGCACTTCGGTGGCATTTATGGCCTCCTCTTATATAGTGGTTGGTCGAAAATACGAGTGGGCTGCAATTTTGGTTACAGTTGTGGGAGGTGTGATAATGGCTGGGGTACTTGGCACCATGACTTATTATGTGGTGAAGTCCAAGAGAACTAGGTCGATGAGGAAGAGAGAGAAGCATGCAAGGAGTGGATCCAACTCGTGGCATCACTCCGAGTTTTCCAACTCAGAAGTAGATCGGATTTATGCCCTTTGATGTGATAATTCCTAGCCTCTGGGATCAGGACTCTGTGTAATAAGTTTTTAAAGGTGTTTAGGAGAACTACTTGCCTGTTACATTCTTAGGGACAGAATGTTCAATTCTATCATGAATGCGAACAAGTTCTATGAAAATATAATTACCATGAAAGATCCATGGAATTGCTAATAGATAACGATACTTCAATGGAGGTGGCGTTGCGCAATTTTAGGCCGGTTTATGTTTGTATAGATGAAGGAAAAATGGGCAGAAACTGTAGTTTTTTGCTTGCCATTTTGTGCTCCATGTAGAATTTGAAGACCTGAAAGTGGGACAGGAAAGAGGTAAAAGAAGGTGAGCTTGAAACCAAACTATGTATGTATGCTATTTTGTCATTTTATTTCTGCCCGAATGAAGTTGATTTTATGAAGCCATGGCCGAAAGTACTTGGAGACTGTAATCTGCTTGGTGGATATTTAAGCATTTCAAAGAAGTCTACTCGTTTCAAAGGTTTTAAGCGTTTCTATTTGATAACATTCAGAGCTGGTTCAGTGGTCATAATCATAGCCTTGAACCATAAAATTGTCCAGCATTTTCAGGTGGCAAATTGCTTAATTGCTACTGTACCTTTCCTTCAATACTTATTTGCTCTTATGGACTTGGGCTATACCATAGCTATTTCATCAATAATTATACTAAATTAAACTGTAATAATTCGCAAAATCTAACATCAAATGCAACCCTTTTTCAAGGGTTCTGGCCGGTTTGGTCAATTTATACTGATTTTGTCTGAGTTTGTGATACCGCGAATGTAATCCATACTACAAACAATGCATCAAATACAAATTGAAATCTATAATTACCGAGAAACTCATAATACACCTATTAAGTTATATCGCAGTGTCTCTGCATAAATATACTACGCACCAAAGACAACCCAATACAAAAAATAATAATAATTTAAAAAATTTCGAATCTTGATAGCAAGACAGAGAAACATGAAGACCTTTACAACTCTACCCCCTTTTAGGGTTGCAACTTGGGCCGGACCAACCCGAACCATACTTTGGGTTTGGTTGGACTGCCCGAGATAACCCAATTTCTAGCTTCAACACACGAAGAACAGCCTGAACCAGACTTTGGGTTGAGCTGGACTAGCCCGAGATAACCCAATTTCTAGCTTCAACACAAGAAGAACAACCCGAATATTTGCGGGTCGGATAGGTTGAATGGTTCAACCCGAATTATATAAATCCTTCAACCAATAACTGTAAGCAATTATATAAAATCCTTCAACCAATTTTTAATGTTAAGTCAGCATGTTAATACATGTGTTGATTCTTATTTGCTATTGTTTTTTTGGTTCTTGCTAAATTCTTATTTTACTTATTTGCTAAACTTGTATTTTAGAACATTATCATTTATTTATTCATTTTTAGTAATATATCAAGTAAAAATTACTATTTTTTTTTTTTTTTTTGGCTCCTATATCAAGTAATAATAACGTAGCATGACAAGCAAATATGAATTTATTTTTAGATGGATTCCTAAATAATATAATGATGATGAATAATGCAAGTGTTCCCATCTCGTGGCACGACCCAACATAAATCGAAATTATATATTAACTATTCCTTTATCTTCATCAGAATCATCACTATAATTGTTGTAATTATTAGGTTTTATTTTGTTAATACACGACAGCAGGATATAAAGAGGAAAAGGAGAGGATTTTCTGATCGGTGTGGCAAGAAAAAAGAAAATGAAAAGAATGAATGAAATCCATGATGATATTCTTCCATAATTTCTGAAATTTCCGCTACTCGAACTTCCTGAAGACATCTAAATTTGCTGAAATTCAGATTACAAGGTTCAGTGTGACCACAGACAATGGTTACTGGAACCATTCTCCATTGAATTCAATCTTTGGGCATAAGATACTGCAGTCTTATTCTTTTTATTCTCTCTTTTTTCAACATTTCAATTTGTTTTGTAGTGGAACTAAACCTAGAGAATGGTAATCTGCTGTGCATTTATAAAGTAAACATAGAAAATTTGTGCAGTTGCAACCTCACAGGATTGTTCTTATTTAATTTTCACTTTGAAATATAGATGGCTGGAAAGAGATGGAGCAATAAACTTGAAGTGAATTGAATAGGCATTCATCTTTCAATCTCATTATACCTCAATATATAAATTGGACACTGACTAAGAATGTGGTTAAGAACAAACAGTAGACAAAAAGGTCGACAAATATTTTGAGAGATTTTTCAGCAGTCATAATTGTATAACAAATGTATAGGGTTTTATGTTATTTTCCTGGAATGATACAATGGCGCCTTTTCTTTATTTGTACTACAATCTATTTTGTTTTGATAAGGTAGATAATTTTTTTTTCAATTTTTCTTTTCTTCTTCTTCAATAGAAAACCCTAGTTGTTAAATAATATCTTTGTTTAGTGTGACAGTATTGCCTGAGCAGTAAATGACGAAGCCTTAAATATGCCATCCTATGCTTAAAAAAAATTCTCTAACCATTGGAAGATAAAATTTAAATATATATATATATATCTTTGTTACTTGTTTTGGCACTGGATTCTAGATTTTCATTTATAGTTACTTTTATTTTAGGGTTAAATGCAAAAAAATCCCCTAGACTATTGGAGTTTTGCAACAAACCCCCCTGAATTATAAAAAAAAAAAAAAAATCCCTAAATTATGATTTTATTGCAATTTACCCCATGACGTCAGCTTCTGATGTCGGAAAATTTAAAAGACCAGTTTGCCCTTGTAATACACTACGTCGTTTTATACCCTTCTTACCGTTTTGGTTTTTTTTTTTTTGCCAAAACATTTTAACACGAAGACGAAGTTATCGGGGAGGAAGACCTGGTCGTACGGTCTGGATCAGACGCTGTCCACATCATGTGCTCTGCGCACACCACGTGATCGGCCGGAATCGATCCCGTGCTCTGCGCACACAACCTCCCAGAACTTGGTTCGGATTTGGAGACGGCGACATGCTGAAGTGGCGGCAGCGGTGATGGATTGAATCGGCCCGTGGAAGAACTGCGGCTGAAGTGGTGGCAGTGTTCGACGATGAAGTCGTCGTCAGCAGCAGCGGTGGGGAATTTGTGGCAGTCGGCCGGGAATCGTTGCCGTCCATGGTGATCCGCGTCTTCTTCTCCGACCACAGCCGCCGCGACAACACCACCGCCGCCTCCACTAGATCCATCTCCTCCTCCGACCACAGCCCCCGCCCCCGCCGCCACCACAACACCACCATCACCTCCACACACGACTTTCCCCACTTCCGTAATTACCATCGTGAAAATCAGATTTGGAGAAGGTTGTTGATTCATACGGATCCATCTCCTACTGTTTATATATAATGTGTTGTAGAATCATTTTGCTATAATTGAGACATTGACAACATAACTTGAACTTCACCTTCGTTTTCTCACTGTAAATTGCAGAATGCATCAAAGATTGATTGTTTTGAAATAAATAAAGGGAAACTCTTTTAGCAGTGACGAGAGAAATCAAAGATCTCATCCTCTATGATGCACAGATCTCATCTTCAGCATCAAGAACTGAAACGATCGGAGGTAGCATCTCTCGGAGACAAGACTTGGTAGTGTGGGTGGTCTTACGGCAATCCATTGGAAACGGAATGTTGCGAAACAAGCCAAACAGGAGTGAACGTGGGTGTGGCGGAGGACTTGGTCAATGTGAGGAAGGCGACATTGGCGCTGGTGAGCCTTAGGATGCACTTTACTGGTCTTCGCAGATGGCAATGGCGATTTGTGAATAAAATTAGGGTTAAAAATTGATAATTTGGGCTTTCAATTTGGAGTTTTTATTTATTTATTTTCCTAACAGTAATAAGGGTAATTATGTCATTTTGAAATTATTTTATAGGTCACCTGATATTCACACGCCGGAACAGTGTTACCTATGTTTTTTTGCAAAAAATTAGATAATTAAGAAGGTTTATTGGAAAAATAGAAGTTCAGGGAGTTTTTCCAGAGAGTTTTTTGCAACCTATGTTTTTTTGCAAAAAATTAGATAATTAAGAAGGTTTATTGAAAAAATAGAAGTTCAGGGAGTTTTTTCAGGGAGTTTTTTGCACTTTACCTTTTATTTTATAGTTACTTTAATTATTAACATTTCATGAGTTTTGTTAGAAGGACACAAAGATATTTTTGGATAATAACATCTCCTTATGAGATTTATAATTTAAACGGAGCCTAAAATCACGTGAAAAGCCTACTTTACCCTCCAATGTTTAATTAATTTTAATTATAAAATATTAAAATAATTAAATGACTAAATTTCCCATGCCCCTCTCTCTCTCTCTCTCTAAATTACCCTATGCCTCTTCCCCTCTCTCTCGACATATATACATACGGCGCCACCACCACCACCACCACCACCACTGAGATCTCGCCAGCTTCTATGGACGATGCAATACGGAGCTCCACTGCTCCATCTCCTCAACCACAACCGCCGCCATCCTCCCCTCCTCAACCACAGCTGCCGCCATCATCTCCCTCCTCAACCACAACCGCCGCCACCATCGACCCCGATCTGAATCTTTTGCAGGATGTGTTTTGGGACCCGGATCTGAATCGTCAACGCATCGAGGACGTCTCGATCACCACCGTCGTCGAAGAGAAGATGTTGCCCTTGTAATTGATGGCGTCGAACGATGGTAGTTGGTGATTGTTGAGGCCCTCTTCAAACTGGTACATGTTAACCAAAATACCAATCTTCAGCAATGGCTCCATTGGCTTTCAAATGTAAAAAGATTATAGTAAATGAAATGAGATGATATATGCATGTCCAGTATGTGATTTAGTTGCATGAGGTGCGGTTACATGAACCTCACTAGACTTTGAAATTGGATTCATGAGGCATATTTTTTGAAATTTGAACAGGAATGCACATTGAAAACATGGAAAAGGTATAGATGTATTCTTCTCTTGTTTTGTGAATTAATTAAATATATCCCTCAAATATTTAGTTTTATAATATTATTGATTCAGAAAATTATTACAAGTTACTGCATTATTATTATAAATTTAAGTTAATTTCATATAATTATAAATTGTGACGTGATACATCTTTCGATTCCAATCACAGAAAAATTTATTACATAGTAAATTTATTCTTCAAAGTTTAGATAATGACATTCTCCGGAAAGAGAAGAGAACGATGAAAGTACAAGGAATAGAGCTCGAAAATCCTTAGTATCTCAATATCTCTCCATATCTCCATTCTTTCTCTCTATCTCACTCTACAACACAGTAGTCCTTCGTCCCTCTCACTCTATATATATAGAGAGATAGAGAGTAATAGTATTAGTACAGTACATCTTTTGTAAAACGGAAAAAAAAAAAAAAGAAAGAAAGAAAGAAAAGAAGAGAGAAACTTAATATATAGAGAATATTTTAGGCCAAGTTAATCTTGCATCTTACTTTTTATATATATATTTGTAACTTGCTTAT